GCCAAAGTCAACAAACATGTTCCTGCTCTAATTCAGTAGGCGTTTTCTTTCGTTCGGAAAATACTTCGACTGAGAGGTATTAATTTATCAGGCTTTTTAAGGGGTTTCATGTGGCGTGGTGACACACTGCCTAAAATGAGTGTTTCGAATTCTGGGGATGTCAGATTTCACTCCGCTCGAGAGCAACCTGTCTTCTTCACGAATTCTTCTGAGCAAGGAATTTAACTGAAGTTGCGCCAGACCGAGCTTACTTGGTCGATAGAGCGCTCTGGGTTCGAGCTTCAGTTTGGATCAATCGTTTTACTTCCTCTCGAAAATGACAAGTAAGTGCGAAGGCAACAGAAGAATACAGACTATAGTTTTTATACAGCTGCTGTCGATTCTACGATATAAGAAAATAAGGGACTCCTGACATCTGACAAAGGCATAAAACTCAGTGTCTCAACCAATAACTTAATAAAATTAGAGTCCTACATTTGGTCTAGTCATATAAGTGCGAGAAAGACCAGCATTCCAAAGGATATAAACTTACTTCTTTCGAAGTAAGTTTATATCCTTACTTCACGAAATAATCTGTGATCTTTTCGTGTGGGAGCCGAAATACAGCAGTCGTCGACCAGGAGGTCAGCATGAAACATGAACGAACAGGATCGAGGGACGTGTGCATTCACAGAAGAATAATTTCTTCTGTAGTGCAACAACCCGTGCCTTATAGTCAAAAAGTAGAGAAGCTATGGATGCAGCAGACATCACAAGCCAAGAAGTTTTGCTCATGCAAAATAGCTCAGTGACGATCTCAAGAAACAACACAATCAACAAAATATGCATCAAAAGTGCTTCCAAGTTAATAACTAGAGCTTCAATTATAAATTTAAATGAAGCTGGAACCCTTTCTTCAGAGCTTAGGGCGAACGAAGCAGGCCTTTCTACAAACAAAATCAGCTACTCCATTATAATCAGCTTCCTCAAGTCCATACAGTAAGTGGAAACGGCAATTATCATTACATACACATCAGGTGTCCACTCTCTTACAGTATTCTGATGCAGCTACCTTGTGTCGATGAGAAGTGCTGTTTTGCGGATGTTTTGTGGTTAAAACTTGTTTGCTTCTGCTGAAAATTAGGTAGCTTGTGCAAAACCTCTGATTCGCATTCTGCAATTATACAAATAATTTTTATGAGGTTTATGAAAATATGTTACTCCAGTGAGCAGAAAATGAATCTGGAAAGTAATGGGAAATTTTGCATTGTTTGTAATCATTGTGAATCTTCTCCCCGTATGATTGCAGGATGACTGATATATATTGGACCTTTTTCTAGCTGATTATTTAGTCATAGGAGTTCCAGGTCTGTGCTTGCCGAAAAAAGTATGACCGTCTTCGATCCTGTTCGTATAAAGCATATTAATTGCGAATTTGAAGATATCTGTCGTTGACAAATGGAATGGTAAAGTATTATAATTGCGAATATAATGATGTATGGGTATAGATAACGAACCATCGTCGCATCAGTTTCCACGGTAGGGATTAGTCGGCAACAGCGATCTAGTTTTTTTCGTACCCAGTGTAATTGACATGCAGCAAATATTCTGTGACTGAACTTGTTCCGGGCCATAAGAAAATAGAATCAGACGCTATCCGTCATTCAACACAGAAGTTTATTCATGTTTCGCGTTACGAGAAGGTCGATACCATGTAGGTTTGGATAATTTCTTCGCTATCTTCAGTTAATGCCAGCATAGCTAGAAGGATATTTTCTCTATTTTGCGCTCTGAGCGATCTCTCATCCCAAAATTGCAGAATGCCATTTTTGAGACCATTTTTGAATAAGCTCTTGGTAAGTAAGTCTAAGTTAATTGGACTTCAAGAATATGATTATCCATTTTGACAGTCTAACCGATCGTTCGTTTTCTCTCCGCTAACATTTTGCTAACATTGACGAAAAATGTTCCAGTCTGTGCTTAGACTAATGTTTTTTCTGGAGGATCCGCCGAAAGAGCCGGTTTTCACTTCGCTGGTCTGTAAATGGGTTTGCCCTCTTTGTAGTTCCGTGTTTTTTACAGTGAACATAAATGTAACGAGTCTTTTAATTAAAATTCACGATTTTTTAAGTGGCCCCATTGTGTGAGGGAAGAGTGTTTATTAGTTTGAATGAATAAAATCATCCTATGATGATTGGATGAGCATGGATGTTAAACCCTGGTCAGACAGCGAGCGCCTAGTCAGCCTATCTCTCTAAAGTATCCTCATGATTTGCGTAACTTTAATGAGTTGAGACTGAGTAACTATGAATCCTACTTTCTGGGGATTAGACCCAAACTCATTTCAATATCATTTACACCAAAATGGCGTCTACGCTTCTATTCTCATACATGCAGCCTATATTACCGTTTTCCTCAAGCAGTAACTGCAGTAACTGATATGATATATAAAGAATAATCATATCCTTTTTTCAGGATGAAGCTGATGCCATTTTTACTTAATTTCAAAACTGTTTCGCTGCTTCTGTTGCTGCAGGGATCGAAGACTCAGTCCTCCACGGTGTACAATGGCTTGGCAGCTACTCCACCAATGGGATGGATATCCTGGACGCGTTTTAAATGCGAAATCAACTGCGATGCTAAGCCTTTCGAATGTATTAAGTAAAACGTGTCCCTGAAAATGACTTTTGCAATTTTTTTCATTTTAGTGAGCAGCTTTTTATTGATACTGCAAATCGATTGGTTGAAGATGGCTACATGGAAGCAGGCTATACTCGGCTGAACCTCGATGATTGTTGGAGCGCTATGCAGCGCAGTGCTAAAGGCGAACTTTCTGCTGATCGTCGGAGATTTCCTCATGGCATTGCTTGGCTAGCTGAATATGTAAGCAATTTTACATTAGCAAAAAATCATTGTTTAGTGTCAGCCGAATGTCGGAAGCAAAGTTCCTCAGATTCTAGTGGCTAAGGATAAGACATGACCAGTTTCACCTAATTGTAACAGTGTATCCAATATTCGATTGATGCCATAATGTAGAATTTGGCGTGGCGTGGAACTTTTTCTCTTTCCACCCATCGTCCATGGATTTTGATATTCCCAGTTTCATATTCTCGTTTTGCAGGGTAGAGACTTTGCGAATCATTTCCCCTACAGTGCTGCTGTCCTACTTTAATTTAGATATTTCTCATGGATAAATTATTATTAAAGATGTAAGGATATCTGTCAATTTTTGGTTATCACTATCTCCTTGACCGATTTTTTCAGCATTCGCGTCTGAATAAAATATCCTTATCGTATTTCGACCTGTCGTGTGATGCCCTCTTCGCAACAGACGGAGTTTTGTATTCAAGATACTCTGCGTGAACTGCAGTTTCTTTTTGAAAATGTTGCCCTGAATGTACCTCTTGGTAAACATTGTAAGAAGACGATGGTCGTTTTTAATCTACCGGTTTTTCGACCTTCGAATGATAGTTTCTGTAGTAGTGACTTATCTCAGAAATATTTGACAGTGATGTATTTTGCTGCTCTACCAAGAATGCATTTAAATCTTGCAAGTAACTTTGCCGAGTGCATGAATGGAATAAAGTGATTCTGTGGTAAGCAGATCGGACGATAGTAATAGAGGCTTTCGCATCGGCCTCCATCAGGGAATCTGTGCTATCCTGGAATCAGAAAATGTTTTCAGTTAATACCATTATGCCGTCTCGTCATGGTATCTCATCTATATTACATTTTTGATTCGACGTTTCTTTCATCGCTAGTTAGGTTAGACAGCAATGTAATTCATATCAATAAACAGCTTTGCTACGTTCGTTTTCTGAAAGTTTAGTAGGTGAATGACAGTAAGCGTTTAATGGTCAAGTTTGTGGTTCATTTTAGATTATTGAATTGTCATTCAGGCTCTTTCAAAACTAGATTTTACATCTTACTGCGCCGTTTCCTTGCTCTTATATGTCTATTGAGGCAATTTGAGTGAGCCACTGCTCCATCTATTTCAGAACTATCAGTGCTAAGGGCATCATGCATCCTTTTGTTCCTTATAACGATGTTTCAGGAGCTGGTACTCCTTATATGCTGCCTCATAAACACCAGAAATGTGGTGGTTCATATACAGCCTAACCATAATAGGAACTTATTAACGTACTTCGGCATGCGAATTCAGTTTCTCTTTCGCTAATGCATAAATGAAGTACCAGCTTTTATAACATCGGTGTTAGTGGGCAACGAAAATAAAGTATTGCTTTATGAAATAATGTAAGCTGCACTGCAGGTGTACAGAAGCCATGGATTCAGGGTATTTAAAAGCTGCATAAAGTAACGTATTCTATAGCTAATTAAATTCCTTAGGAGTCGCTAGAATGTAATATTTTCTCTTAAAATGAGGATGAGATCAATACTAAGTATAATCTCGCTATCACTATTGCTCAGCTTGACTAAAGGAAAGTACGTTTTAGAATATTTAAGGCATACGTAGAAATTGTCATTTTAACGGGATTCTTCTATAACTAGTTTTAGGCTCATAAGCGGGGCTTGAAACTGGGCATTTATGCCAACTACGGCGATAAAACTTGCATGGGATTCCCTGGCAGCAAAGGTCACCTGAAGCAAGATGCCATGACCTTCGCATCTTGGGGCATCGACATGCTCAAAATGGATGGCTGTTTTTCGAATACAAACGAATTTGACAGTGGTACGTTTCTGACTGTATCTGTGATTTATTATTTTTATTTGACTATAATTGTTTCAGCTGATATCGCATTCATTTATTTATTATAACTGTATGCTAAGACATCTATGACGAGCCATTAACAGCAGGAATTACCGGACAGTTGTGCTTGTGTCCTGCCTTGTGATTAAAACGTGCCATCCAGTTTGACCCATTCTGTCTTGAGAAATCTCTTAATTGAGGAATGTTTAATTCCTTAAATACTTTAATCTGAATACTAGATTATAAATGCAGCTTGATTTGAAAAAGTCCTGCAGTATTTAATTTAAGATGTTCTGCCGTTTATTTTAAGGAAAGGAGTCCCACGTGCTATAAATAATAGTACTTGAATTTGCTAAATGTGACCTGGTCTTCTTCCAGTTTTTCTATATTATTTTTGTTCTTTACTTCGTAGGGCTGTACTAATTTCACTGGTGGTTAGTTTGTTCCTGATTCTTTTTGTTACCTCTAAGCATGCAAATTCAAATCTGTTTCGTGATATAAACATAGATTTAACGTTTTTCGAATCCATTAAGTCAGAAAACTTTCATTTGTTCATTCGTTGATAATCATGAATAATTCAGCATTTTAATTTAAATTTGAACGTTTAATCTTAATATACTTACCTTTTTGCTTTAGCGTACCCTGAAATGGCTACGTACCTTAACGCAACTGGACGAGATATTGTATTTAGCTGCAGCTGGCCTTTCTATCAGCTGGCCGTTGGCAGAAAGGTACCTTAATTATGATGTGTAGAAATTTAATTTAGCATATCTTTTTACCGTATCTCAACTTCTAAGACATTTGTCATTGCTACTAAGACGAAGGCTTATGTTTCGCAGTTATTGTGATAGGTTCGTCTACCTCATAGGATCTAGACTGGAAGATTTATTTCTTCCACTTTTTCTAAAGCGGTGCCATTGCTTAGCTTCAGCGTTGCTAAATAAACTTTAATAAATTAACAGTTTAAAGCATCTACTGACTTATCTCTCAGTGAGAAGAGTTCTTGACAGACTGAGAAAGGAACAGAGGGAAAAGAAGGAATTTAGTATTCAATTTTGCACCACTGATGTTTAAGCGTAGACGTTCTGTGAAAAATGCAGATGTAAGCAGACTCCCATGAAAGCTTGTAGCAGACAGATATTCAAATGATCCACGTTATTTGAAAATAAAGAGCATCATAGTGGACTTTACATTAGTTGTTCATCCACGTAGTTTTTACTTCTTTATCACCTCATCGATTCTTTAGAGTGTCGAGTGAACTATCGCGATGATTCACTCGACTACTTAAAAGGCTAGTCACAGTTTTGGTACACACTTTGAGACATGATTGAAAATCACCCACAAAACTGAGCTCGACAGACTCTTACCTCAGAGATCGCATTTTCGTTTGATTGTGTAGCACAGCGTTCCATATGTTTATTTCTTATCGCTCGTGCCGTCACTGATACAAGATGTTGAAATCTTATTCTTGGTCGAAAATGGTATGGTATAGGTGCGAGCTTCTCTGGTATGAAAGAACCTTCCGTGCGAATATGACACTGTCATTTCACGCGCAACAGAGGTGGAAGTGCTTGTAAAAAGAAGATTCTGTTAAGTTAGTAGCTGCGCACGAAGAAAGTCAGAAATCGAAAGGTTCTGTTGATTTAAACAACACTGATGCTGTCGATTATCAGGGCTAACAGTTTATTTATGCTGTCATGATAGACGATGATAGCGTTGTTTCTAACATTGGTTTTTGATTCCTTAATTTGGCTTTCTTCCTGTATACAGCTACTGCTTTCGAACACCGTTATGATCATTCGTTGATACTGCATTGGTAAGAATTTTCAAAAAAAAGCATAACGTCTCTGCTGACCTGAATTTAAATTAAAAAATTTTTTAAAATGACAGAAAATAATCAACACAAGAACTGCCGTTTATAAAAGAAACCTAACCATGCCATAGCGGAATACGCTGAAGTTTTGATCTTGTTCGTCTGAATATGGTAATACAAGCGGCGTTCAGTGGAAAACATTATTCCTTTTTCTGCGAGAAATTCAAATTAACTGGCAATTAATCAAAGCAGTTCTTATAAATATCACATATGGTCATTGGAAGGACCGCAGATGCCACGCCTTTAAAAATGTATTGGTTT